TAATCCCAGCACTTTGGGAGGCCGAGGCAGGTGGATTGCTTGAGGCCAGGAGTTCAAGACCAGCCTGGGCAACATGGCAAAACGCAGTCTCTACCAAAAATACAAAAATTAGCCAGTCTCATAGCCTGGTCTCAAAAATAAATAAATAAATAAAATTTTTTTTAAATTATTGGGTTTTGTTTTTCTTTTTTGTGTGTATGTGGCAAAGGGAAGAACAGGATTCATTTGTGCTTCTCATTTACCAGGGACAATAAGGAGATAACCATTCAGAGAAGGGAACTGAAATTTAAAAATCAGCTTCTGTATTTATAGCCCTTAGTAGCAGAATTCCTATAGAGAATTTCCAGAATGGAAGCTGGCCCAATAGTCCCTTATAATCCATACTCTAATCTTCCCACGTTTCCATTCATATAGTTTTCCAAGTGGTAGAATATTGGCTGATAAGAGTAACCTTTGCCAGGCGCGGTAGCTCACGCCTATAATCCCACCACTTTAGGAGGCCGAGGCAGGCAGATCACCTGAGGTCAGGAGTTCAAGACCAGCCTGGCCAATGTGGCAAAACCCCATCTCTACTAAAACTACAAAAATTAGGTGGGCGTGGTGGCATGCACCTGTAATCCCAGCTATTCTGGAGGCTGAGGCAGCAAGAATTGCTTCAACTCCAGAGGTGAAGGTTGTAGTGAGCCGAGATCACACCGTTGCACTCCAGCCTGAGTGATAAGAGTGAAACTCTGTCTCAAAAAAAAAAAAAAGGAATAACCTTTACAGTTTTCTACTCATTCTTTCTTTCAGAGATGCCATAACAAAAATGAAAGATGTCTACCTAAAGAATCCTCAGATGGGAGACCCAGCCAGTTTGGATCACAAATTAGCAGAAGTCAGCCAAAATATAGAGAAACTGCGACTAGAGACCCAGAAATTTGAGGTATGAAACTTCTGTCACGGAAAGCTTTGTTGGAAACGAAGAATAGGTGTTCCTCGGTGTAGAATGGCGTGGGGCCCTGACGGTCCTGTCACTGGGAGGGACACAATGGGAACAGCAGGCTGTTTCATGAGTTACAGTCAAAGGAAAAATACAGCTTCGCCGTTGAACATTCTGCTTCTCATCATAGCCTATCTTAATCGTGTCTGTAAAACCTGACAGTGTTTAACGTTGTATTTGTATACATTGGGGGGTTGGTGGGGTTGTTTGTTTTTTTAATTTTAGAGAGAGGATTTTGCTCTGTTGCCCAGGCTGGGGTACAGTGGCATGATTATAGCTCACTGCAGCCTTGACCTCCTGGGCTCAGACTCTGAGGAGCTGAGATTACACATGCCACCATACCTGGCTAACTTTTATTTTTTAATTTTTTATTTGTTTTAGAGTCGGGGTCTTGCTCTGTTGCACAGACTGGTCTTGAACTCCTGGCCTTAAGCCATCCTCCCACCTTAGCCTCCCAAAGTGCTGGGATTACAGCTGTGAGCCACTATGCCCGGCCAGTATTTTTTGTACTTTAAGTTATTCTGCTTCATCTCATGGTAATAAAATTGGGAGTATAGAGCGATCCATTATCCCAGTGAATCAAAAAAGCAATGAAAAAAAATCCCCTGAAATATACAATTGTTCTTTCAGTGGGCCCATTATGGAAAGGGTGTGTGTGTGAGAACCAGCAGGAAACACAAATGAGAAACAAGCAGGAAACATAAATAATAAAAGTTGGAGGGAGGGAGAGGAGCACTCAAAAGCTGTCAACAAAAGCCTCCTGAACCCACTCTCTACACCACATTTAAAGACTACAGAGCATGGAAAAATACATTAGCAACCGATTCTACCAATCAGAATAGATTGTTTCCAGCAATGAAAGGTTAACTATGGCTTTTTTCATTCTGTTTTTTGAGATGAAGTCTCGCCCTGTTGCCCAGGCTGGAGTG